TCATACGAAAGCGTGTCCACTTTTATGTATCGCTAGTTCATAGGTTCGACCTTCAGACTAAATGTTGGGGCACGCAGTTTGCGCATTCTTCGGTGTGGCGTTGTGAGACAACCATAGGGTATCCTTATAGTTCAAAAGAGTCGGGATGGTAACTGCAGTGGTGCTAGTGGTGCGAAACCTAATGTCTGTCAATCAGTGGTCTATCATTACACAATGCGGAATGCAAACGCATTGTCATGAAGGCAGACCACGCGTTTACGGAACGTTACGTCTACGGTTCGTGCGGCAGGTAATCACGTTTACCTTCAGTATATGCACAACATGCTTCCAGTCTTAACAATTATATTATTCACCTAAGCCGAGTGCCGCATCCGAGCGTCTTTTTGTGACATTCGAAGCAGTAAGCTGTTGCGCTAACTACCCGATTCCACTCAACTTGGCTTGCCTATGCAGTTAATTACACCGCTACATTAATCACCCTACCAGCGCAGTCGGTGGCATCGCGATCACCTGATCTCACGTCGCGGACACACTCCATGAATTGGCTCATACGAGTGCACACGTACAACGTCTCACAGGACGCAGGTGATGCAGCTTCAAGAGTGACCGTTACAAACATTGGGGAGAACGATGCAAAGGATTGAGAAAAGGTATAGTGGACCAGTTCATTTATTGACTGGAACGAATCTAACCACTTTTCGGATGCTGGTTATCGTTCTTTACCACAAGTGAGAATATGCATGTGAAGTATGGAGTAAACAAGGCAGTGACTCATGTCTGGGATGAACAAGTAGCCCAAAACTGGATCGCACCATCCAGTTCACCTGTGATTGTGGTGCACACGGAAGTAATCGGGATCCGAATGGATTAGACTCAAAACTATGGCCAGCAATGATACTGAAATAATAACGTGCCTTGAGAGTACGCAGAAATAGCATCCAACGAGATCGGAATTACTCAGTGAATGCACAATAAAACAACATCAAAATATTACCGATGCACAGTTATCGCAGTTGGTTTTTCGTTAACCATGGGTCGTACCTTGTCAACAGACCAAATGACTGCAACGTGCTGCCGGATGACTTGCCCCCAAATATAGTACTTCGTTCTAAGCTTGGACAAAAAATAACATCGATGATTGATAAAGTCCAATTATCCTTGCTATGGAGTAAGGAACACGTTTCATTTCCTCTGTTGAAGTCCGGATGAGTTTCAATTTTGCAAAGCCACCCGTACACAATGTGTGCATTTGTTCACAAACATAAAATGTTATTTTCAAACTGTGTGCCCAAGTGTACACGTATTCTCACTTGCATGATTGCCAATCAACGGTCAACATCTTTCGTTCGCTATGTTAGGAAATTTAGTACATGGCTGTCAACACAATATTCTTTGGGACCAAGGTTCTTGCTTGTATGCGAAGGGGATAATTACCCTCAGACGGCGTTGCTAATCTTTATCATAAAAATCAATCGCCAAGCTCGGCGAACCGATCAATAGGTGAGCAAGCAACCCAGGCTACCAGTGTTTCAAATTATTTCCAACCCAATGACCTGTTTACCTATGCATTATACAATTTTCTTGTGGCTGACGTTGTAGTTGAAAAGAAGCGTTTCGTGCATCTGACACTTCAGTAATCTAAAGAAAAATACCGACGTAGAAAAACCGGGAGCCAAGGAATTGTACAAACCGGGGCATAAGCGTAACTGGAGGATCAGACCGCAACCGCGCTCCACAGTATAATCATGCTGTGGGATTATACAGAATTGACGCTAAAGCAATGCTGCATTTCTGTTGTACTAACGAAGACACTATTGAGGCACTGAAAGCTCTGTCCCCAGCGTTGTTTGTACATTGGCCTACTAAACGTAGAGATACGTATGATCACAACATATCGTCAATCAATATTTTCATGAAGAATTCTTCAGGCTAAACACAACTGAGTAGTTGCACGCGAGCGCTTTAAGTGCACACCAGCTAGGTGGTACTTCCACACCTCGTTGACTAGGAAAATTTTGCTCCACTTGTGTAACCCCTACAGAACTGCATGGCCTGGGTTATGATGTGGAACATCTCCACAATCTACTTGCCAGTCTTGACAGCACGAAGCCTGCCGGTCCAGATGGGCTCCACCCGCTGATTCTTAAGTCGCTTCCTCGCATTCCATGACCGATCTAGTCAACAACTCGCTGTCTGAAGGTGTAGTGCCAAGCGACTGGAAATGCTCGGTAGTGAAGCCGATTCCGAAGGGCACTGACCCAAGTAAGGAGGGCAGTTACCGGCCGATTTGCCTGACCGCCGTTTTGGCCAAAGTATTCAAGAAGATGAAGCAAAAGCGTCCAATACAGCTGCCGGAGTAACAAAGACCTCCTGAAAAAACCGTTCAGCGCGGTTTTGTGATGGGTCGCTCTTTTATCACCAAACTGCTGTTGACGCGGCAAGTTGCAAGTGTTGAATCGAACAAAGTCGATGGACTAGACTTCAATAAAGTGGGCGACGAAGTGAACCCTGAGGTCCTTTACAACCAGCTGAGGATACGCGGTGTTGGTGGCTCGATGGGTCACAGGATCAATGAGTTACTCATTTGGTGAAAATAATAGGTACAAGTGGATGACCACCTACTGACTGGTATCACTCCATCAGTGGGGTATCCCATGGCAGGGTGTTGGGGCCCATTTTGTTCCTGATCCACGTCAACGCACAAATCTGCCCTTGTTGCAAACAACCAGAAGCTTTTGAAAGTAATTGATGCTCAGAACAACTGCGTCTTATCACAACATTACCTCGACCGTCTGTTCATATGGTCAGCGGAGGTTGATCTGCCAGTCAACCCAGTCACATCGTTATACATGAGCCTGGAGAAGCATGTTAATGGCCGGCCAACTGCTACATCACACACCTTTCGTTAAGGATATCGGCGTACTCTCAGGCTACGATTTGAAGTCCGTGGATACTACGAACAAGCTGGATGGAAACGGACTGCAGATTCTCTGGGCGCTCAAACGCAGCTTCTGCATTAGCTCTGAAGTGGTAGCCACGCATCTCTCCTCTTCCGTCACAAGACCGATGTTTGAGTACGGATCACTCGTCTATTGTCCGACCACTCGTGGCGAGAAGTAAAAACTGGAAGGTGTTAGGCATGTTGATACCATGCTCATCCCCAGTTTACGGGGTACGTCGTAGGATGATGGATGCGGACGACCAGGGTTGTACACCATGTCGTGTCGTCCGTCTCGAGTTGACCTCATTATGACGCACCGGATATTGCATCCGGTATAAGCTAGCGGTACCAGACCTAAAGCGGATAGCTCAACATCCATGCTTCGAGCGTCTGGTAGCGGGATACTGGAATGGTTTGTCCGAGAAAATAGTCGAGACGTAATCGGTGTCGGAATTCAAGAAATTCCTGGATGCACACTGTGCGTATTGCACTTTCAGAGAGCGCATCACACCAGAATAGCATACGGAGTATATAATATGCTGCGAAGGCGCAGGAATCAGTGCCGTGTTCCGCGCACGTAACTGAATTGACTGCGATGGAGCAACACAGACGTATGTCACTATCTCTCTATGTGCAGTATTCATCGTGAAAACGCGAAGCGAAAATTACTTGTTCGATGCGGGGAAAGCGTGTCCTCACGGGATCGCGCAGGTCGAAAACACGCCAGGTACAAATGCGAATTCATGTGTGCACATGTCCGATATGCAGCCGCATCGTGAGGATTCTCATATTCCCACTACTAGTACCATTCGCTTGTTTACACCTCAGTTTTCTTTATTTAACCTACGCAAACTATTCCACGTAAAAGTCCACATAAGTCACCACTCTCGGCATGCAGCCGCCATTTGCCGGGGCGTTAAAGCTCTCTGACGAAGTCACGCCTTCTCTCTAACTCGTGTTAGGGTGTCGGAGGTGACATTCAAGCCGAGAGTGTGTGGGAACAAATCTAACAAGACCCTGTCATTCACTACGGAAGCAGAATTCGTGGGCACCATATCACTCGTTCCGGCTAGGGAAATCGTTGCAATCGTACAGTTTTAACAGGGTCATTTCCAGATGCACAGTGACCATGGCAGTAGTTAGTAACTATTGGCAGCACATACATGCAACTAACAGGATTTAAGGCAAAGCCACATGAGAACGATTGGTGGCCAACGGTTTTCCGATTGATGCGTTACACCCTGCCACAGTAGGTTTAGTGTCGCTGTCAGCTGTTTTTGATTACGGTGTCGGGTTCTGTCGACCGATAATAATGGCTCGAAGAGCTTGAGGATGTGAGGCCTTTAAGTACGCATGAGGACTGCGAATGATACCTCGGGATTGATCTAGTGACTGCTGCTCATCAACTGCATCCTACTTGGTGGGTCAACCTTGCTTACCGATTCAGCCGCATGCTCCACCCGTCTGCGGGGTTCGTCGTGGACATTGGTATCGATCGATATTGGCACTAAATCTACCGTGGTAGCGTGTAACGCGCCAATCAGAAAACTCTTGGTCACTTAATGATTTCATGGGACCATGCTTTTAATTCTCTGTAGCTGTATCTACATGGCCAAACAGTATAACTTAATGGTAGCGTCATCCTACAACCTTCGTTTTCTGCTATTCGTATTTTGCAATATAAAGGGAATTTCATGTTTCAAAAGCACTGATATGATTGACTCACCGAACCACTCGATGTAGTGTCAACCAGCTGTGCAATTAGAGCGGCGGGCCTCTAGGAACCATGTGGTGCAAACCTAACTCTCATTCAAGCCACGATAACACGGACAGTGGGGTTATCAAGCAGCACGCAGACGGGTCCGGTGATCCGTCAGACCATTCCTAGATATGATATATACCATCCAAACATGTGCAAGCACCGGTCTCAGTAGCGTAGGTCAAAGATTAGTGAGATGTCTTCACAAGCGAGCTGTATATTAACCAGAGGACACCAACAATATCAACAATCAAAAATAGGAGTGAAAAAGTAGCGCTGGTTGAATCTACTTTTACTCACCTTTTGGTTTATAGATTCGCTCAATACGTCGTAACGTCGACCCATTAATGTAAGAACAGCCCACGATTAACTGTGCACAATCACGGAAGCTGATCGTAATTTCTTGTGAGGAAGGTGCTTTACTGACTGTTGGAAATGTTGTCGAGCCAGGTACACGAGTGAAGCTATCCACGGACAGGTGAATTGTACCATTGATAAAGTTTCTTTTCCCAGTGACTTCACAGCGGAAGGTGTGATTCCGTTTCCCTAGTGGAAGGAGCTCAGACTCTGGAGTCAGGATGAGTGTTGGGAGCGTAGCTAGAAAGAAAAAAGGAAATGTGGACAATCGGCAGGAAGATGTCACCGGAAACTGGCACTACTATCCAGTAAAGACTCAAGTCCACAACATATGGCTCTGAAAGCTGTAAAGGCATTTTCAGAGACTTTTCAACTTAACTTCTTTTCCGTTCCTGTTCATGCACTCCTCACAAGGTTGCATCACAGTTTGCTAATAAAGGGTGGCCTATGCCCGTAGAGATTTCGTTCGGGTCGCAGCACCATCGATATGGTGTTTGCGGCTCGTCAGTTGTAGGATAAGTGTAGTGAATGACACCAGCCGGTGTAGTTTTTTGTTGATTTCACCAAGGCATTTGATACGGTGAACCGCAAGGCATTGTGGCTGGTGTTGGGTAAGTTGTGTTGCCCGCGTAAGTTTGTAAGTTTAATTGAATGTCTGCACAGTGGTATGCGAGCGAGGGTGCAGCTGAGTGGAGAGACCTCGGATGACTTTACAGTTATCTCTGGTGTGAAGCAAGGCTGTGTTAGCTCCTGCCCTGTTTAATATATATCTTCATGCAATGTTGTCCTGTGCTTTTGATGCCGCTTGTGCTTACGGTGTTCGTGTGGAGCACCGTATTGATGGTGGGTTGCTGAACATCCGTCGTTTCGGTGCGAGAACTCTAGTCTGTGAGACAACGATCCGTATGTTGCTGTTTGCTGACGACTGTGCGTTGTTTTCACACAGCGCGGATGAGTTGCAGCACATGACTAGTGCTCTGGCTTCGACAGAGGCCAAATTCGGACTCACCATCAACACAAGCAAAACTGTCTGTCCTTTTCAGCCTTCACCTCGCATGTAATCCGTTGGCCTGCTCCAAATCTAGATTACGGACGAAGTGTTGGAAACCACTTCGAGATTTTGCTTCTTAGGCAGCGTAATAAGAACCGACCAGAGAATGACGTGCGAGTTGCGCAGCCGCGCATCGAAGGCGGCTTCTGCTTTTGTAAAGCTGGAATGCCGTGTGGGGAACAATCACCAGTTCGCTGTTGGAACGAAGCTGCTTGTGTTTGTCTATGGTGTTGACCGTTCTTCTATACGACAGCGAAACCTGGACGCTTTATCGGAAGGATGTCAGGTATCTGGAGCGCTTCTATCAGCAGCGTCCTACGTCGTATTATACGCATCGAGTGGAGTGACCGAATTGCAGACACGGAGGTGCTCTGACGCAGTGGTGCGTATGCAGTGGACAACATAAGTCTGCTGAAGCACCTGAAGTGGCTCGGACCTATTCGCCGTATGGATTCGACCCGGATACCGAAACAGCTGCTTTATGGCCAACTGAGTGCAGGGAAACGGCACTTGGGAAAACTGAAATTACGATACCCGGACTTGATTAAAATGAGCCTACTACGTTCTAAGGTTGGTTGCAGGTCATGGGAATAGAAGGCGGTTGATCGGCGTGCATGGAGCGATCTGATCACGAAGGCAGTTCCCGAGATGCAAGTGAAAGCGCTCGTGCATGCAGAGAAGAAGCAGAAAGTGAGGTAGAGACGGGCGCTGATGGGTTGTACTCAATCGCCATCGAGCGCATGGTGCTGTAGCACGTGTGGTTGCGCATGCCTGAGTCAGGCAGTTCTAGTGAGCCACGAGTGAGGCCACTCGCATCCAGCATCGAATCGACGACGAGTTCTGCTGAGAACCAAGACAGAACTAGCGCAGTGATTGTAGGTAAAATGCATACGATTTACTAACCACGTGCTTGCATGCTGAGTTTCTTTATTCCAGGTGCCTTGTCTTATTTTTATTTTGTTACCTCATTTTAATTTGTACCTGAATAATCTATTAAATGGCACATTTCGCTTAAACTAAAAGTGGTGAACTTCGCTTGTTTTTATCTCCTTCTTACATATGTGTCTTGATCCTTTTTTCTGTCATCCGGAATCTATCACGGCTATTTCTCTAATCCATTTATTTCATATTCTAATTTAGCGCCGTCTCCGTACGGGGTATTCGATCTATTTTATTCGACATTTCGTTTCATGTGATTGGCTGTTGCTTAATATCCCCGGTGTGGCTGCGCTTGATGTGCATGTTGACAAGGTGTCTACATGTCTATTACCCACTACCTCGTCCATACTGGCTCCACGAAACAGTTGGTCTTTGCCGGAGGGGACCGGGTGCACGGATCTTGTGGCCGTGCTAGGCTCGGAGAGTGGTTCCATGCACTAAGTGTGGAGCGGACTACGGTCCAGTCACCGCCTTGTGTGCGATTGATTTCCCAAATACAGCGTGCTTGTGTTAGCCTGTGAAGGTGCGCCGGCTCCATTGATGAAACGTGGCCCCCATCCACATGCCTCCCGGTCTTATTCCTTCGGGTTTACACTGGATATGGGGTGTGTGGTTGGAGCTGTGGGTGGTGCAGCGCAAGCCACCCATGGTCCCTCTGTAGGTGCAGGCGTGCTGTGGCTGGCCACAGTGACAGGTAAATCCGAAACCGGATGCCGCCAACAATGCCCGTAGAGACCACAATGATAGCGCGGCTTAGGTGCAGTTTCATCAATTCAGCTAGCGAATCTGTAGCGTCATAATAACAGCCCACCGTACAAATATCGACGGTGCTAGCTCAAAGGTCATAGAAGCTAGCCAATGTTGCAGGAATTGAACAAACAGCTAATACCGCTAGTCTCTGCAGATTACTGTCGGACGAAACCTCGGTTAGTGCGTTAACGTACAATCATCGATAACCGTGTAGCCGGGGTCCAGACCGTTCCTAAATGCCTCGCTTACAGCCAGTAAAAAGGAGGCACTTACCAGAGCAACCGCTAATGCCAGTTGAACGGGCACATGACAAGTAGCGGTGAACTTAAGGCGATAAATAGGGAACTGGGGACGATAGGTCAGTGGGAGCAAAGATCATCTCAAACAACTTTCCCGTCGTCTAGCTCACTTTATTTGAAGCTGGTAACCAGCACGCAGCTAAAGCATGAGCGAATCCGCGGCAGACGATACCAAGCAGACAGCTCGTTCGACGACGGGAATACAGTCTACTCGCTGCGAAGGTGGGAGCATGATTAATGGTCACAGAGGTCCTGTGGTACCTAAAAATGCTTCAGTTCGAAGAGTAGAGTGATAGAATTGGTAACTCTGCTCCACCGATTGCTTGTGTTCTTCCAGGATTTATTCGTCTAGGAAACGATAAGGCTAATGGCTATGAATCATAATGTTCGAGGAAGCGGGTAACCGATAGGGTCTGGTGAACTGCAGAGAAAATATGCAGTCTAATAGGCATCTGACGGCTACGATGAGGATGCCGATGTAGGTGATTAAAATGGTGTCACAGATGTCAGCCCGCCAGCTGCTCATCGTTAATTCATAAAAGTCAAACTACTCTGTTAAGTAAACATTTTCTAAGCATACGATACGATGTGAAGCTTTTGTCTGTCGAATGCAAAACCTCCGCGACTCTAGTTTCTCGGGTACAAATTTATTGGCATTCAACACTTCCTATACTCCACGTTACGTCTTAACGATGCTCCGAGGGAGACAGGAACTGTTTTGATGATAGCTGAAGATTACCCGGCTAAACTTTACGTTACAGTCAAGAATGCCCACGAAATCGAGCAACATGGCTCCGCGCTTACCGTTAGTCAGTTTTGTCCTCACAATTGTTTCCACCTCGAATTCTTCCTTCCTAACCAGGCATTTGTAAGTAGAAATGCTGTCCTTGGAATCAGGTCTCCAATTCTGGTTCAGTGTAAAACGTGGCTGTGACACATGGAACAATGGTGGACCCGAAAGATGGCGGAAGATCATTTTGGCCGATGCAACATGAGCAGCATTATCTGAGGTGCACTCGAACATTGTCTTTTCGTCAAATGAAAGCAGCTCCGGGTGCCAAGGTTTTATTACGGCTTCATTCGGATAACCTTTAAAAATTGAAGCGTAAGTACATAACTCATGAAGCTAAGAAGCTAAGATTTCACATCTCAGTGAGCGAAGTCTTCATAAGACCTCATGCCATATTTCCACAGCGATTCATCACAAGTGACCAAATTAAGCAGTTGCACAAAGCCGTGAACGAAAATGGGCTATTGTAGGACCGTATCTTTAGAATGGCCCCATTGGAATCATAGCCAAGTGGTAGTAGGGAGAACAATTGTGGATGGGGCAAGGTGCGGTCAGCTTCTGAGCGGACAATGAGGCGGGGACTTAAAATTAGCTGTGCGGGTTAACTTTTGAAATACAAACCATTCCGACACCGTTAAACGGGATATTTCAAGCACATGCCACGATATTTAAACCGCTTGATGCTTGCTTATGTATAATAAAGATAAAGATATTTTATTAAGCCATAGTTGCTGAATCATTGTAAAATAATCCCCTGGAATCGCATGGAAAGTAGTAACAATATTATCATCCGTAAGCACATAGATGACATTGTTTTATTGGGTGATCTCCAGAACAGCTATAAACAAGGTCCGTGCAGTGATAGGGGATACTAGTTTAATCGTATTCCACAGAAACCAATCCCACAAGGTGGTGTACATACGATCGGTCGGTATCATCAATGCATTCAGAATCGGTTGTTGCGCGTGCTTGAAAGCTAACCTCACCGCCTCTAGGGTAGCAATTTTCAGGATAGATTGGATCGTGGTTAACTGGCATGCACTAGATACAAAGGAGATGTGGATCCTCATTAACAACAGTACTACCACTCAGCACTAATGAGGTTGCACACGAAGTTGCCTCTCAGTGTGAAATGTGTCTACACACCACATATGAAAGTGTATGAAACTACTCCTGGCGCGATTCTTTAACACATGAGCCGAAAGAAAAGCCTAGATACCGATAACCTGGTGACACCAACCAGGTGAACTCAGTATTCGACGGCCCTTCAGCGCATTCTTACTACGCTGTGCAGCGTGTTCGAGTTGTGCATTCGCGCCTTCCATATACCTCCTCACACTTGGTGTATAGTCAGTTAAGTATACGTGAGCTACGCATCGGAAACAAGGTATTGTTTAGCGCCATCAACAACAGGCTTTTCATTATTTTTGAAGTGTGCGGTTAGGGATCAAGGGAATGACAGCATGATTTCGAACAGTTTACTACTGCGGACTTCACAACGCAACTGTGCCACTGATGAAGATGGTTTATGGTAAAGAGCCAGAAATATTTGCGATGTTATTGATCATTTCTGGTACCGGATATACTAGTAAAGCTAGCAGCCAGTTTCTCACACGTCAACTACTCGAACAATCAACTGAATAGATGCTAATAGCATGAATAAACCCATGTATATCTCCGTCTCGTTTTGAGTACCTACCGATTTCAACAGTCCCTGTTAGTCATGCACTGGTTTTTATTTATTTGTGGCTGAAAATTGAGTTACGATGCGGTAACTGTTTCGTCTAAGGAAGACAACGATGGTGCCTTAGTTTGCTTAGCCTCAGTTATGAATTTTGAGAGTAAGTGTAGGGAGCATTTGTGTTGGAGCGCTCGCTAACGCTATTAGCCTGAACTCACGTCATAAACTTACCATCCACTGTAACATCCAACCATGTGACCACCTTCCAGTCCATGCGACAAGCAATTAACCAAGTACCGGCTGCGGCGTATTGTTTAACGCGCCACGTGTGGATGCTCATTACATCAAAGGTGCCCAAATGTGTTGCCTGTCCCGGTGGGATGAATAACTCAAGCGCATCTTCTGAGTGCGCCAACTCCGAGTAAACAGGAACCTGCTGTCCACAGGTCAAACTGTCGGACGGTTTCAGGTTGCGTGTTTCATAAGTAGGATTGCCGTTCAATGCAAGCTTCCGACCTATTACGAAAGGCGAAGTTCGGTAGGCAGCAAATCAAACTAAATTGAGTGATGGTATTCAACACCCAAAACAGTCTTTAAACACTATTACATTAACATTTACTCACTACTAAACTGAGCACAACCAAAAAGTTGGAACCTGATGAAAGCGGTACGAAGCAATGCAGGTTTGACGAGTCCGCAGCTCTGACAAAATCATCATGCTGTTAGGACCGAACTGACTCAGCAATGCTTCGGTACATTGTTTTCAAGACCACGCAAATGAGTTCGCCGTTTTGCGATTGAGTATGGAAGTTCAAGTGCAGATGCAAGCTTTTACTCTTCACTGAAATTGGCCACCATAGATTATTGTGCTCGAATTTTGCGGTAAGCTGACTCGAACTAAATGGTTTCACATGAAGGAGCTCCGAAAGGCGCGCAAACTGGAATGGACTAGCGTTTAACTTGTGTTAGAAACTACATCAATTAATTTCCCACATACTTGCATTTGCCAAAGCAGAAGTCCAGAGTTACTAGCAATGTTCAATGTAGGAATTCCGAGAAGTGAACTTATAGAAGGGCACCTGTTCTTGGATCTCGGTCACCTACTGAAGCTAGAATTACTACCAAGTACATAGTTAAATTTTGCCGTGATAACAGATCCTTAGTACCGTGTTAAGCCCAGCTACCTGTGCATGTGGTTGGAAACAGACGTAAATGTGTTATATTGTGCAGTCGAAAGCCTCACAGCAATTGCTCAATGCGCCGAACGCAAATGTTGCCGACTTCAAATAAATATATAAAAATAGCTTGCTCTCAACAACGTGAGCCACGTCTGTACAGACATGATCATGGGAACAGGACAACCTGTGGTAAGGAAATACACAAAAATATGTTTTCCATAAGAGCTAATGTAAATAAATGAGTGTAGATTTGTACGTGTGTGTAGTCTGACCTGGTGCGCTGAGGCTTGTGGTGGCCAGATCCTGACAGATGGTCTACCCACTGCTGCTACTGTTGTGCCGTGGGCTCATGTCCTGCACTCCTCCTCGTTGCGACCGATGGGTGGGAGTTGGTTTACATCCTTCTCCCTGCCAAGATCCAGGACACAAATCCGCATGAGTCAGTGAACTGACCATATGCTAGACCCACTGCCTTTCGGGTGTACATTTAATTGAAGGATTTGGCTGAGGACCCAAATCGTTCTCTTGTCAGGTGTGGGCGCCCTGCCAGTATAATAGTTCAAACCCCATCCTCTTCGGAGGTTAGAAAGTGGTCGATGGCCCTCTTCACGGAAAACCTAGCCATGGGAGATCACAGGTCCTCGGGTTATAAGCACACAGCTCGATTGGCGTAGAGCACGAGCGCCACGCATTGTCTCTGACGGTGGGAGGGTACCTCCTGGAGTTCAATGGTTTGCTACTGCCGGCTTCAGGCCTGGCTACTCCTAGTCAAATTGGTGCAAACCCAAACCCAAAATCCTCCTGTCTCTGGTCGTGGTCGCAGGTGTATCCGACTACGGTCGCAAAACGTACATGAATCGTTTCAGAACTCCGGAGTTTGCGTGTGACGGACCTCAACAAATCCCAATCTGTCACTACAAGCACTTCCTGAGACGGATCTGCTCTCCACTGCTTTGTGGGTCAGGCTATTGAGCGAAAGGCTCCGGGCGCAGTCCCTCAAGCAAACCTCCGAAGCACAACCAACACCACGCGTGCGAATGCCCACCAATACAATAGTATGTCTGCGCGCAAAGCACTCAGCATCGGGTGCTGGAACGTACGCACACTACTGGACCGGAACTCGAGTGAGCGCCCCGAGCGACGCACTGCACTGGTCGCGATGGAACTGGCGCAGTACAACATCGAAATTGCAGCGCTCAGTGAAACCCGGCTCGCTGAGCAAGGTAAGTTGCATGAAGCAGGTGCTGGCTACACATTCTACTGGGTGGGCAACGCTACCTCAGCACAACATGGACATGGGATCGGATTTGCAATATCTGATCGCCTCCATGGCCACCTTGTAGGTGAACCAACAAGCATCAACGCGCGACTGATGACTGTTCGCCTAGGACTCGATAAAGTTTGCCACTTTTATAAGCACGTACGGTCCGATCATGTGTTATCCTGATGACACGCGTGATCAATTCTACTCTCAGCTATTCTCCGTGATACTGTCTGTGCCGAGGAGCGACCGACCATTTCTGCTGGGTGATTTCAACGCGCGCTTTGGGTCTGATGCATCGGTGTGGGCAGATGTTATCGGTTCTCATGGCATTGGTTCAGCGAATGCGGACGGTGACATCCTGCTCTCACTGTGTGCCACTCACAGCCTGACGATCAAGAACACTCGGTTTGCACTGAGTGCGGTGAGACTGGACCTTAATGTAGTGCGATTGTTTGCATGCCTCAACGCTCCACTGAACTGTGCTGGGTGGTGCTTTTTGCACCTTCAGAGGCACTCATACCAGCTTGGTCAAGGCTTAGAGGCCAGACAAACTCAGTCTCCTGGCCCTGCAGGTCGGGGCTTGGAGTGAGGGTGGCTCCTTACTCCATAAAACGGGCTCTCTGTAGTCTAATGCCAAAACCCCGCCGCTTGCGGTTAGCTTTTTGAATCAAAGGTTTTGATTGAGAACCCTAATCGTTCTCCTGTGTAGGCCTGAGCAACCTGACAGTATCCTTCCCAGGCAATGCACCATGACCTTTTCTTCTAACAATCTCTTGATGCTCTGGCCGTCGAAGAGGATAATAAACGGGGTCCTACATGCTGCGTCAAGCAGGGTGTATAGGGGCTTAGGTACTACTGCTTAGGCCGTCCCGTCTTTTTATTCCCCCTCTCGCACTTTTTCATCCTTAGCGTCCCTTTCCAACTTCCCTTTTATCCCCCACGTTTTCAATCCCCAACTCTTGGACCTCCTCACCTTGCTTGAGTAGTCGCTTGCGTTCTAGTCTAAACTCACACACAATCGCAGGGCGTCGCTCCAATCCAGTCGGCAAGTCCATGTCCAACCAAGCGGACAATGTCAGTTCATCCGTATCCCTTTGGAGTCCGATCATTTTTAAAACTGGCTTGCCTCAAGGTGCACACTTTGCTACAGATTGGCTAACTGGCAGCACGCGCCCGAACACTCGATATCCTCTCGAGCGTTATTTGCTGTTTATTGGAAACCCGCCTGCAAGATTCGAGCTCCGTACTTACTCTGCCATCCCCCACATGCGACCTTGGCTGAACATTATCATAGAGATTGTCTGACGATGACGCAATTTCAAATGCAGGTCAAGCTGGCGTCGGCATTGTTTTGGGTCCCTGGGTTGAAGCTGCCCTGATCGACTGAATCGCTGTCAATAGCCGGAGGTGCTCCGTTACCTTGACTGGTTTGTTCCAGGCTAAGAAGTCGCACCGGGCCAAACGGTGCCCGTTTGTCCTTGCGGCCTACGCCCCCACAAACTACAGCCCTGACCCAGTGAAAGAAGAATTCTATCATCAAATTAACGAGCTTCTTTTTACAGATGTACGGATACTGTGGTGCATGCCGGTGATCTAAACATGCAAGTCAGAACATTGTCCTCTGATGAGCTTCATCTAGGCGGCCAACATGCTGTAGACTTCCGTAATGATAACGATGAGCGTTTGCTACTCCTGTGTGACGGTGCTCGAGACCTTTTCGCGAGCACTAACTTTCGACATAGCACCCGCAGAAGACTGACTTGGCGCCCACCAGTCTGGGGACAGCCATGGACGCAAATCGATCACCTCGCGATTACTTACCGCTGGAGAGGATGTGTCTAAAACTGTTGCTCTATTTGGAGCCCCAGCGTGGACTCCGACCACGCTCTCGTGTGTGCCAAGCTGCGGGTGCGTTTCGGTGGACGTCAGCAACGTCGCTCTGAGCTCATTGATATCAGCCATCTGACGAAGCCGGGTGGCCTGAATGCGTATCAAGCTACGCTAGCATCTGGGCTGAGTAAGCTTCCACTAAACACCGAAGATCACTGGTTGCATATTCGCGAAACGTTACTACCAGTAGGCATGGCTTCATGTGGCAAATCAAATTGCCAACTTAGACATTGGGTCTCTACAAAGTCTCGGGAATTTGTAGATGCTCGCCAACGTCTTCCGGCTGGAAGCGAATACAATGAGACTCCTAAAATCCTCAGAGCAAAACTGCGTGCTAGCCTGAAGAGAGACCCCGACGCCTAGTGGTCTCATCGTGCATCGGAAATGGGAACAGCCGCTGCCGTTGGTAATCGTTGTAAGCTATTCCGTTTGATAAGGGAAATAAACAGCAGGAAACCGGGTGTTAGTGAGACAATACACGACGAGAGTGGACACACGACCCACAGGTTGTCAAAACGTTTGGAGCGTTGGGCAGAACACTTTGCAAGGCAGTTTAACCAATCTGTTATCGCTTCCGCTTTCGGGCATTGAGTGCCCTTCTCCATAGGCCGTCTCGTTAGATCCGCCCTATCGCGTAGCAGTCGAACGTGAGATCAGACTGTTGCAATTGCATAAAGCCGCTGGTGCAGACACAATCCCCCAGCTCTCTAAAAATTCGGAGGAACTGATCTTGTGGATGATTTACACGAGTTGCTAATGGACAATTGGGAGCAGGAAACTGTCCTGACAGACTGGAGCCGCTCCGTCATAGTCCCAATTTTCAAAGGAGACTCCCGTACGGAATGCGGCAACCATAGAGGGATCAGTCTGATCTCAATTGTCTCCAAATTACTTGTCTTTCTCGTTCTCCATAGCATGAATGGCGCCCGTGAAGGCCAGATCCGCAAAGAGCAAGCCAGGTTTCGTCGCAATCGAGGCTGCATCGGCCACATCTTCACTTTGAGTCAATTGTTGGAGCACCACCATGTTTATTGGCGACCCACCGTTGTCGTGCTTCTCGACATCATAGGTGACTTCGCTTAGGTCGATCGATGCGCCCTTTGAGACTGTCTGCTGAGAAAGGATGTGCATGATAAACATATAGTTATCAAAGCGCTATACGAGCATAGTTCGGGCAGAGTGAG